GCACATTATTGTATGTTGTGGGATATAAGTGTACAACCTCTTTTCATATGGCTAGCCACTTGACCCAGCACTAATTTATGAAAAGAATGCTCTTTCCCCATTTTTGGCACATTTAAAAAAATCAGCGGACCATAGATGTGGTTTATTCCTCACATCTCAATCTAGTCCACAGATCTCTACATCTAAACTTCTGTCAGTACCACACTATCTTGATGACCATTGCTTAGTACAAAGTTTTGAAATCAGGAAATCCTAGTCCAACCAAATTTTTTTGTTTATCTAGAATTGTTTGGATATCCTGATGCCCAGCAATACCATGTAAATCTATGAACTAGCTTAAAAACTTTGATAAAGAAATCAGCTGGGATTATGATTAGCATTATGTTGACTCTTCAGATCATTTTGGGGAGATATGCCATTTCAACAGTAATATGATCCATGAAATTGGGATGTTGTCCAATTTATTTATACTTTTATTAATTTCTTTTGATAATGTTGGTACTTTTCATAGAATTTGTTTTGTACTTTTTTTGATAAATTTATTCCTAAGTATCTTATGACTTTTGATGCTGTTGTAAATGTACTTATTTTCTTTTTTTTCCCCAAGATTTTTGTTTTTTGTTTTTTGGGTTTTTTTGTGAGGAAGATCAGCCCTGAGCTAACATTCATGCCAATCCTCCTCTTTTTGCTGAGGAAGACCGGCCCTGAGCTAACATCTATTGCCAATCCTTTTTTTTTTTTTAATTCTTTTTTTTTTCAATTGTGAAATTTTTGTTGTACATTATTGTTTATCAGTCACCATATAAGCACATCCCTCCACCCCTTGTGCCCACCCCCCACCCCCCTAGCCCCTGGTAACCACCAAACAGGTCTATCTGTGCATGTGTTGGTTTATCTTCCACATATGAGTGAAGTCATGCCCTGTTTGTCTTTCTCTTTCCGGCTTATTTCACTTAACATAACACCCTGTAGGTCCATCCATGTTGTTGCAAATGGGACGATTTTGTCTTTCTTTATGGCTGAGTAGTATTCCATGGTATATATATACCACATCTTCTTTATCCATCCATCAGTCGAGGGACACTTGGGTTGCCTCCATGTCTTGGCTATAGTGAATAATGCTGTGATGAACATAGGGGTGCATAAGCCTCTTTGGATTGTTGATTTC